ACTACGACTACTACTACGAATAGTACTACTACCTGAGTTAGTGGCACTATTACAATTATTACTACTACTACTACTACTACTACTACTACCACTAGTGGTACTACTACTACTACTACTACTACTACTACTACTACTACTACTACTACTACTACTGATACTACTACTACTACTACTACTACTACTACTACTACTGCGACGACCACTACTACTACCACCACGACCACTACTCCGTAAAGGACCAGTATTACTACGCCGACTACTACTACTACTACTACTACTACTACGACTACTACTAATTTACTTGCTACTTACGGACTATTACTACTTACTACTACTACTACTACTACTTTACTACTACTAATACTACTACTACGATTTACTACGGACTACTACTACACTAATACTACTACTATACTTACTACGATAATACCCGTATACTACTACTACTACTACTACTACTACTACTACGGCTACGACTACGACTACTACTACTTACTACTACTATTATTACTATGACTACTACTACTACTACTACTACTACTACTACTACTACTACTACTACTTACTACTACTTGCTACTAGTTACTACTACTTACTACTACTTACTACTACTACTACTACTACTACTACTACTACTACTACTACTACTACTACTACTACTACTACTACTACTACTACTAATAGTACTAATACTACTACTTCTACTTCTACTTCTACTTCTACGACTACGACTACGACTACGACTAATACGACTACTGCGACTACTACTAGTACTACTAGTACTACTACTACTAGTACTACTACTACTACTACTACTACTACTACTACTACTACTACTACTTCTACTACTACTACTACTACTACTACTACTGCTACTACTACTACTACGACTACTACTACGACTATTACGACTACTACTACTACTACTACTGCTACTACTACTACTACTACTACTACTACTACTACTATTCAGCATGATCGTGCTCGCGGATGACTGTCTGCTGATAAGGTTTGCACTATGTTTTCTAGTGTCTTCTTGGGCGACCCTGTTCGAAACCTTCGCGAAAGGTGCGGCGGCGAACTGAGTCATTTTCTGACGCCGCTGGAGATTAGCCCATTGTTGCGGTGAGTGGACAGTGACCCAGACGCGTGCTTTATGGAGCGTGCCCTATGGCCTATGCCCGATGCCCAAAGATACCGTAATGGCTGCGATGGTTCCCAGGTGGGATTATTACTCAGCTGGGTAAAAACAGTGACAGAGAGAACGTAGCACGCGCGACAAAGATCAGTAAATCAGTAGGCCGGACGACGAAGGGTTGTAAAGGGGATGGGCTGTCGCGGGGCCTCGTACGCCATTTCGGGGGCCCATTGGGCTTGTTGGGGCAACAGGTTGGGAAGCCTGAGAGACGTCTGAAGGCGTCATGGGCCCTCTTGGGCTGCTGCTGGACCGTGGTGGAGCCGTCCTGGAGCGGGCTGCGGGCCCACCTTGACCCGTCTAGGGGCCCTTTAGGGCCGTCCTGCGGACTCGCAAGAGCTCAGTGGACCTGCTTGAAACCATATGGGGCATCTCTCGGAGCCATCGTGAGCTGGAAGAGGTCGAATATCAAACATGCACCAAATCACATGTAACTCAAGAATGTTGACGTCTCGGAACCCCGCCAGAAGTGGGTGAAGCGGGTGTTTACGGCGGCGCGTGGGCGACGCTGCCTTTTTCTCGCTTGCTGTGCGAAGGCCTTTCGCTCAGTGTGGCGGCAACAGGGGGGGACGCTGCGCGGAGTTCACCGTGTTTGTCGAAGAGGGCGAAGCCCAGCTGCAGGCGTGGAGAGGCGGCATGGCCGAGGCCGAATCCGCTGGACGACGCTCTGAGCCGTGCTTCGGGTCGCGCGCTGATCGCGCCGCCCGTGAAGTCGCAACAATCATTGCATCATAGGGCTCCACCAATGGGAGCTCCACCCATAG